AGTGCCGTAAATCAGTCAGCCAGTGGCCACTTCAACATGCTCAAGAACTGGCCGGGCGGGCAAATGGGCCAGCCACATGTGAGAGTAGTAGTGAACATGTGTAAACACAACCATGAACGCCAGGAGGAATGACCAGCCTGCTCTTTGAAGCCGTTGAGAAACTATGTGGAGGATTTTTAGTTTGAGCACGAGCTTCACGGCATTTGCAACACATTACGGTCATGATAATATATGAGCCAATTTTAGTTTTTTTGTTTGTTTTTTGTTTGTTTTGTAATTGGCTTACTTCACTAGCAGCACAAAGCATATACGTGTCGAAGATTAGGGGTGTTACTAGAGAGTAACGTACCCACAAAAAACCCACTCAAAATCCCAGCAACAAAAACAAACAATAAACAAACAAACAAAAACCAGAAGGAGGATATGAGGGCCATAGATATCTGATGGGAAAGAAGGAACAAACCACACAAGAGTACAAGCCAACCATCTACTTATAAGATGGAGGATTTTCTTCAAAGTGGGTTTCCGTCTTGTGGTTTTGTCTCACCACAGGTCACACTGTCACGGAGCAGGGAGCAAAATGATGACGTGATTCATCTAATAGAGGAAACTTTAACATGTATTGTATTTAAAAACAAAACCTCGGATGTACATACATTTCCGATCCTCGCTCATTCCAAATAGGATACCCTTTCTTTCGTACTCTTCCGTTTCTACCATCACCGTAATTTCGATTTCTGAAAAGCGCTTTTTGAAAAGTGGAAAAGTGGAAGAAAATCTGACGACTCTTTAGCTGTCATCTTGCATTGTCACTTTCCTTCATTCCCAACCTCTGCCCTTACCTTAAAACTTAAAGAAAAAAAAAACAGGGACAGAAATTCGTTTAGGGGAGCATTGACCATGCCACCAAACAACCGCTGGAAACTTAAACTTAAATGCTTCTAACGGTGCGTCTAGACACTTGAATACTTAGGCTCTCATGTACATTCCACCTATGCTTCTCTCGTGTTCTAAATTTATTTTCTTTGTGCTCATTTCCTGATCTTAGAGCAATCCCCACTTAATTTCGAGTAAATTAAATGTCTTGCAAACTCACTAATACACATACACTCAGGACACATATACGCTTAGTTCACATACACACATAGTTAACAAAGACCAACACACACACACACACACACACACACACACACACACACACACAT